AAATGATTTTCACTTTTTTTTTTACATACTGTCACCAGTGCAGTACAGCATCATTATATAACTGGCACCATATAGTGATCAGGGACACTGACTGGTGACAGTACAAAAAAAAAATTGCTAATTTTTTTTTTTTATTATTTTTTATATTTTATTAAATTTTTTCTCTTTTTTTAAGATTTGTTTTCATATTTCACTATGACCAAAGTAGTATAATGTTGCCATAGTAACATTGTACTACTTTAGGGAAGTGATCAGTATTTTTTTTTTCTTTTTTTTTTACACAATTTGCTTGTAGCGAAGAATTACTTTGCTACAAGCAAGCAATCGATTGTGATTGGCCCAGCTTGTGCATGTGATCACTGTGACCATTCACAGCTAGACACACTTGTACACAATGGATGGCATGAAAGGAAGCCATCCATTGCATAGAACTGACATGCGACTTGCTGTGATTGGTCACAGCAGGTCACATGGTACTGGCAACGGGGCCGGTACACAGATCTGTCATCGGCCGTGTCCGAGGTACACGGCCGGTGACAGATCGCACCACAGCACGGCCCTGCGGACATGCGCAATGTGTGCTCAGAAAAGGACACAATATGGCATCCACCCAAAGGGATGAGGTGTTCGCACGGCCGCTATCTGGCTATAGGCTGGGCGGCAACTGGTTAAGCATACAAGAAAAAGGCAAGGGGTCTCCTGAAAAATAACTGTTGAATAATTAGATATGCGTGACATTGGTTACTGTAGTTAATGGTAAGTCATGGCAAATCTGCTGTCATACAAACACTCCGACACTCCAGTCAGTGCCATTTTCTGATTCTTTGTGGGAGAAGCTTGCTATTGACATAGGTTCCAACTGTCCCTGCTTTGGAGGGACTCTACCTGATTTGGACCCCTCTGTCCCTCTTTCCTCCTCATTTGTTCCTCATTTTGGTCAGATCTATATAGTTGTAAATAAATTGCACTATTTTTATCTTCAAAAAGTAGTAAAAAAACATTTGTGGGTTTAACTAATCTTTGTTTTGTATAATTCTCCTTTAAGTGGCGTATCAGGGGGGTATGTCCTATGCCTACATACTTTTGCTAATAAGTGTCCCTCATTCCCATTTCAGAAAGTTGGGAGGTATGCTATTGATATTGTAAACCATTTCACAGAGGCATCTGTGGACTGCCAATTTGCTAGAGCATTAAAGTAAAACTAAAGGCCTTTTTTTTTTTTTTTTTTAGTTTTGGATAGAGCAGAAATGGATAAGAACCCCTGTAAGTTTTTATTGCTGTCTGTGCCCCCATTAGGGAGATTCACCCTCTCTATATGTCCTATTTACCATTATCATTGAAAGTGAAAGTAAAAGAAAATCCCAAATTTTGGGTTGTCCCCAGAAAAGTAACAGAGGGGAGATCCTCCAATAGACACACTAGTTCTAGTGGCCTGGGGGGGTCCTCAAGGGATTCCCTTAATTTGCAGGGATTTCCTTTCACTTTCTGTTTTGGCTATGGGGCAGGAAGTGAAGGGGAGTCTCCCCAATGGGACACAGATGGCAGAAAATATACTGAGAAGGGTTATAAATCTCCCTTATTCTATCCAAAATGAAAAAAAGGTATGCCTATAGTTCTGATTTAATGGATTATTACAGCAAATTGCCAGAAATTGATGGTGTCTCAAATATATCTTTTGCTATTGTAATTACATTTCTCTCCACAGTCTTTTGCAGGGAAGGTAAGGAAAAAGAACTACTGTCTGACAATGAAACACAATTTGTTTCATCTGAGTTTTAATCCTTCCTAAAAGAGAGAGAAATATTGTACATAGGATGTTCTCAGTTTATTATCCCCAAGCAAACAAAGAGACTGAGAATTTCATCAGAAGCCTTTAGCAGGTCATACACTGTTCAAATTTTGACCAATTCCTGATTAACCGTTCGAAGTTTTTGCTTAGTGGTGTCCATGTCAGCTCCCTCTTGCCCAACATCATTCAATTGAAAATTGTTGACTGAACAGCAGCTGCATCCAATCAAATGCAGCCACTATATGGGTGTTCTGACAGCTGCTGCCAGAACACAATAGCTCAGTAAGGGATTCATAATCTGTGTTGTATAGCATGGATGGAGGAATCTGTTAGATTTGTACATTCAGACAAAAGGCTGATAAAAGAAAAATCTAATTGCTTAAAGAAGTTAATCAGGCAGCAAAGCTTACATGGAAATCCTGGAAAGGTTTCATTTCAGTGTTTTTACACGTCTACAGAGTGACTAGATATGTAACTGCACAAGCATCACCAGCCAAATATGGCAGACAAATGCACACTTGCTAAATGTTGAAGAAATACAAATCTCACAAATTCTAGTGACTCTGAAACCATTCATTGCTAAGACTGTTAAAAAGCAAGAAAATAAAAGAAAGGCAAATACTGAATCCAGCTTTGTCCTTCTGCCCTCTGCTGTTCAGGTGGCATACATCGGGTCCTGACTTGGTCCTCCTCAGTTAGCTGCCTTCTCCAGGTGTGGCCACCTTTTGGTGATGCATCCGGCCCGCCGCCAGCTGCTCCCTGTGCCCTGTCCTGCCGCCTTCTGGGAGATGTAATGAAAGTATCCCAGGAGGCTGCAGGACCAGGGACATGTCATTCTGGCAAAATGTTGCCAGAATAAAAAAAATGCAATTCTGTTTGGGGGTAATAAAACAGAAACTCACTCCCTATATTGTGACATTGTATTTATATTGTTGCTTTCTGTATTTTTTAATTATGTGGAAAAAGACCCTTTTGTACTATGAGGGGAATATTTGGTGTCTATACCGGTAGCCTATTGATGTCAGTACTATCACTTGTTACATGTATAATACTTTCTATACTCTGTTAGTTCCAGTCCCTATTTCTGTTTTATGGATGCCTGAACTTGTTATTAACTCCTTGGTGCCTCTTGGCAGCTGGGCCTTGACGCTGAGGGGGTGCATATTTGTGTACCTGATGTAAACAAAGGATGTGCTCAGAGCACGCACACTGCACGCTCCCGACACATTTACTGGCACCTCACGGAAAGATTCCAATCTCTACTTGTGGTTGGAAGCATTCCAATCAAGTGACCGCTGTGACAGCCAATTGCGGCGGTCACATGACCCTAAACCCTGTCCCACTTCCCAGCATCACAAACCCCTTAAAGGTCTGGGAGGTGCTGGCACCAAGGGGTTAAAGTACTTTTAACCACTTCCGGTATGGCCCATGTATATAAACAGCCAGACAGTGGCAGTGCACGGGCGGGTTGCCGTTCATAAATGGGGCCTACCATTTTGGACTGTGCACGCTCCTCTGTGTGACATCCCGATCATGTGTGCCCTGATTGGCCAATCAGTGATCACATGAATAGGAGTAAGCAAGATGTCACTTCTGACATCATTGCTTACTACGTGTGAAATCTGTGAATGATCACAGAGATCACATGGTCCCATTCACAACGGCCTTGTACCATGTGACAAGCTGTGACCAATCACAGCTCACACAGTATTTCTTAATGGCTGCAAGAATGCAGCCAGAGAGAAGGAGAAATGTTTGCTTTTACAGCTTTTATGGGTGTAAAAGCAATCAGTGTAAAAAAAAAAAATCTTCATCACCCCCACAAGTGGTACAGTGTCACTATGGTGACACTGTACTGCTAGGGTGACAGTATGTTTATAAAAAAATAAACAACTAATAATATAAAAAAAAATAAAAATGTGAAACATTTTTGGTTATAAACTAATTTGGGTTGTTTTTTTTACTAAAAAGATAACTGAATACATTTTGGCCAAGATTTATGAGCGATTATATTTGCAAACTTTGCAAAAAAACACTTTTTTTTTCAAAATGTTTGGACTTTTTCATTTATATAGCAAAAAAAATAAAAATCCCAGTGGTGAGAAAATACCTCCAAAATAAAGTTTTATCTGTTTCAAAAAAATGCTAATAAATTCATATGGGTTCAGCGTTACATGACTGCGCAATTGTCATTCAAAATGTGACAGCGCTGAAAGCTGAAAATTGGCCTGGACAAGAAGGGGGTAAAAGTGTCCGAACATGAAATGGTTAAAACGACTCTGTCTTCAAGACTATACAGTAGAACATAACATATTTTAATGTTGTTTGTTTTTAATACAAGTATGTCTATGTTTAATTCACAAAGGATTGCCACCTTTTAAATATTTCCTAGTTTTCAATTAGCAACAACCCCCCCCCCCCCCCAAAAAAAAAAACAGGCAAAAACATATTATATTCATATTTAAAAATCCTAAGCTTTTAAACCTTGAGCACAATCATAAGTCGTCTTGACCTTTAATGAAAACCATGCCTAGTCTTGCAAGCGTTGTTTTTGATGAGAATTGAAGCTGTCAAATATATATGATGTATATAAGATTAAAATTGTTGATGTTCAAACTTCTGTAGAATCTGTGTTGTCTCACAACTTCCTTAGCCACTTGCCCTCCAGAGGATTTACCCCCATTCCTGACCAGGCAATTTTTTGCAATAAGGCGCTGCGCTACTTTAACCACTTGCCTACCAGGCACTTATACCCCCTTATTTACCAGGCCAATTTTCAGCTTTCAGCGCTGCCGCACTTTGATTGACAATTGCGCAGTCATGCAACATTGTACCCATATGAAATTTTGATCATTTTTTTTCTCACAAATAGAGCTTTCTTTTGGTGGTATTTAATCACCACTGGGCGCTTTACTTTTTGCGCTGTAAATAAAAAAATTGCAAAAAATTTGAAAAAAAAAAAAGTTCTTTGTTTCTATTATAAAATTTTTCAAACAGGTATTTTTTCTCCTTCACTGATGTGCGTTGATGAGGCAGCACTGATGGGCACTGATAGGCGGCACTGATGGGCACTGATAGGCAGCACTAAAGGGCACTGATAGGCAGTACTAATGAGGTGGCACGGATAGGCGGCACTGATAGACAGCACTAATGAGGTGTCACGGATAGGCGGCACTAATATGCAGCACTGATAGGCGGCACTGATAGGTGACACTGATGATGGGTACTGATAGACGGCACTGACTGGCATCACTGCTGGGCACTGACTGGCGGCACTGACTGGCACAACCCCTGGGCACTGACTGGTGGCACTGACTGGCTGCACTGCTGGGCTGCGCTGGTGGGTGGCACTGGTGGGCAGCACTGGTGGGTGGACACAGGTGGGTGGCACTGGTGGGCACAGGTGGGTGGGCACAGGTGGGTGGCACTGCTGGGCACAGGTGGGTGGCACTTCTGGGCACAGGTGTGTGACACTGCAGAGTGGCACAGGTGGGTGCACTGCTGGGCACAGGTGGGTGCACTGCTGGGCACAGGTGGGTGATCTGCTGGCACAGGTGGGCGGAGCTAGTGGGCGCACTGCTGGGCACAGGTGGGCGGAACTTGCGGGTGGCACTGCTGGGCACCGATCATCAGGGCACTGATCATCAGTGCCCTGATGATCGGTGCCGATCCCCACACTGACAACTGCCGGTTTTCGGCAGTACTTTCCTCACGATCTGACAGCGTGAGGAAAGTGCAGCCGAGAACCGGCACTTGCATTTCCCTCTGATCAGCGTGTCATTGGACACCACTGATCACGTGGTAAAAGGCCGCTGTGATTGGCCTTTTACCACATCACGTGATCAGCTGTGTCCGTAGGACACAGCGATCACGGAGATCGCCCGGTGCGCGCCCCCTGGGGCGCGCAGGAGAGCGCGTTCTGGGAGGACGTCATATGACGTCCACTCAGAACTGGCCGGCCGCAGTGAAGCCGTCATTCGGCTATCTGCGGTCGGCAGGTAGTTAACTGACAATTGCACGGTCATACAATGCTGTACATAAATGAAATTTAGGTCCTTTTTTGACTTTTTGCTACTAAACATGTCCAATAAAAAAAATTTAAAAAATCAATTTTCGTCATAAATTTAGGACAAAATGTATTCTGCTACATGTCTTTGCTAACAAAATTCCCAATACGTGTATATGAATTGGTTTACGTGCACGTTATAGCATTCACAAATGGCGGTATATATATACTGGAATTTTTATTTATTTTATATTAGTAATAGCGGCGATCAGTGACTTATAGCGGGACTGCAGGACTACAGGACTGTGGCGGGCATTCTGACACTGGGGGGGAACTGACTAACTGTCACTGACATCCCAATGACACTAATACAGTGATCAGTGCTAATAAAAAGCACAGGCACTGTACTAATGACACTGGGCAGGAAGGTGTTAACTTTTGGGCAATCAAAGAGTTAACTGTATGTGTGTTTTACTATGTGTGCTGTGTGCTGTTTTACCTTGGAGACATGCTGTTTTGTATTTCTCTGTTGTGCAGAGAAATACAAAACAGCATGTCCTTGCTGGCAGGTGAGAGACCTGTGTTGTTTACACACAGGTTTCTTCTCTGTCAGTTTTGCACAGCGATCGCCAGGTGAATCTCCAGCCGGGACCCGGTTATTGACATGCCTAGCCGCCAATGACGGCACGGGTAGGGAGGTGCGCATGCTCGCTACCCGGAAATGCAAGTCGCGCATATATACGTGATTTTGCGCTTCCCTGCCACCCTGTAGCAGTACTTCTACTATAGGGCGTCGAGGAAGTGGTTAAATACATGCTTGTACTAAGAGCTGAAAAATCTTTTCAATTACAATAAATGCATTACCATATCTAAACCCAAAAACAATAATGTAATATTATATTGGAGGTGTTTCTTTTTCATTATCTTCACCTGGTGATATTATGCATAACACGCTTCCTGTTCCTATTTTCATTTCTCCACTGTAGCTATGGAAGAAACCAAGGTTCTCCCAAAGGCTGAACTTCAAATATGCCTGCCTTTGTTTATCACTATTATATGGTGTTCAGATGTGAATAATAGCTTACGCAAGATAATTAAGAATGTTTGTGTCTTTAGGTCAACTCCCAGTGACAAGGACACTTCATTTCTGGCAAGATTAACAGGTGTTAATTTACTGAAAATATTGTTAGCCTGAAAGATGAAAAACAACCACATCTAAGGAATATATTACAATATACTGCATTTTTGTCTTTGTCTTGGAAATTTTTTAGGCAACTCCAATCCTAATGGTCATCATTGGTTCGAAATTAATATTAGCTACTGCAGCAGGGAACAGCCCCAAAAAAAGATATACCCTACATCTTTCCAAACAACTTTTCTGTTTATTTGATGCATTGAGTTTTTGTGTATAACCATGTTTTCATAGGTAGCACATAATTATAACATTTGCATATATATATATATATATATATATATATATATATACATATATAGGGATAGTTTCTTAACAAGGTCTAAGGAGTGTTGGTATTTGGCAGGAGTTAGTATGATGCCAAGGACATTGGTTGCAGTAGACAAAGCATACAAAATTAATGACATGTATATACCAAGCTTGAAATTTCTTTCACATCTCTCCCTTTTGATCAGTATTTTACATTTGATTACCGACAATACATGCCAGGGCCATGGATAAGGGAGTGCCACCAGTCCTCCTGTACGGGGCCCAGGCCAGCAGGGGGGCCCAGATAGTTGGGTGAATCAAATGTGGGGCAGGGAGGGCAATCAGCATATGGAGGGGCAATTACTGGGACCGATCCCCTGTATAGCTCTCTCTGCAGCAGCTGAAAGCTGGCTTCTTCTCCTCGCCCTCTCGCTACCTTTCAGCTGCTTCAGAGAGAGGCATACAGAGGATCAGTTCTAGTAACTGCCGCCCTGCCACACCCATCACCCTCCCTGTGTACCGTACATTTTCCCCTGCTGCCCAGGCCCCCATGTGGCCCTACCCCTGCAGTGCTTCCAGCTTCCCTCCTTTCCTTCCTGTAAACACACAATAGGATCCTTCAGGATGGAGACTGGGGGGAAGAGTCTGGTAAATATATCACATTTACCAGCCCCTTCCTTTCCTAAATAAACACTATGAGTGATCCGTACCAATCACTTACTGTGTTCATTTATAACTGAAGCATAGTAAACTGTGTTTTTTTAGGGAGGGGATGGGGGCTGTCAGGTTGGCTGTAAAGGGCCCTGTGGTTTCTACCAGCAGCCCTGATATATGCTATGATCTTTAACCACTGAGGACAGAAGGGGATGTGGAAAAACTATTTTATTCCCAAAGTGATTTCCTCTTTCACTCATCTTTTTTCCCTTTTTTCTTTATTATTATTATTGCAAATTCAAATAGAAAAACAATATAAAATATAATGTATTAAAGTAAAAAGTAAATAAAACATAAGATATTACCATAATACGTTTCAGCTCTCTTACACATCTACCGGTAACTTACAGAATATCATTTAGTTAGCCAAGAAATCGTAGACACATCATTTTCAATTTTCTTTTTAAAGAAAGAAAACAAAGTAAAGGAAAAAAAAATGGGAAACAAATGCACTGTGACAAATGCCAATCATTAAATAGAATCAGGGATGGACTGACAACTCATGGGGCCCCCGGGCAATAGGGGATCATGGGGCCCCTGTGTCCTTGCCCAAACTCAAAAAAGCCTATGAAAAAGGTACCAGGGGCATCTCATGGGGCCCCCTACTGACCCAGGGCCTACGGGCAATGCCCGAGTTTCCAAATGGTCAGTCCACCCCTGAATAGAATATAAGTGGGCCATACTCAGTCAACAAATAAATAACCTCATTAACACTCAAGATTGAAATGCATTAGGGGTGTGAAACAGCTAGAGAGGTTTCTGAAATTATATCATAATACAGTGTAGTAGTTTTAAACTCAAACCAGCATGCCCATACCTTTGAATATTTGTCAATTGAACCCCTAGCTATATGTGTTAGTTCTTCCATTAAACAAAGATCATCAACTTTGCATAACCACTGGGACAAAGAAGGTACAGATCCTTGTCCCCAGAAAGTTGGGATCAAAGATTTGGCACTGATATATTTAATATTCCAGATTTAATCATATTAATTTTAAAGTTAGATATGAATTGATAATCCCGTAAGGAAATCAACAAATTTGGCAAAGTGATCCTTGGTTGCAGGACATAAAATATCATCTGCATATGTTTGGGGTAATCCGCACCATAGAAAAAAAGGGTTCTAAAGTGATGGCAAATAAAATCGCTGACAATGGGCACCCTTATATTGTACCATTGTTAAGTGTAAATATGTCGCCAAGAGAAACCATTAACCTTTATCCAAACAGTTGGTTGAGCATATAAAGATGCAATGCGGTGAAACATCTTACGTCCTAATTCTAAAACTTTAGAGCTGTCAACAAATAGTCCCAGCCCACCCTGTCGAATGCTTTTTCAGCGTCAGTAGAAAGCAACAGGGTGGGCTGAGAACTCCCCCTGGCAAAAGAAATAATGGACAGAGTTCATAAGGAATTATCCCTGGCCTCACGACCCAGGACAAAACCTGTCTGGTATGGTCCTATCCACTGCGGGATTAAAGGGAGCAATCTGGTCACCAAAACTTTTGCAGAAAGTTTATTGTCTACATTAAGTAGTGAGATGGGATGGTAAATTTCACAGCTAAGCAAGTCCTTCCCTGGTTTTGGAAGTACGGATATGTGCGATGAGCGACTCATCTCGGAATCCCTCTAACCACACAGTAGAATTAGCCTAAGAGGTCAAATATAGAATAAGAATTTCTTTAAATCTTTTATAATAGCCAGTTTTGCTTTGACCAAGGGCATTGATTTTAAAGCTGCATAGCATTCCTCCTCCCCGTGAATTATGCTTCAGGTTTGAACGCTTGAGGTTTTACACTTAGGGTGTGAGAAGAAGAGAAACTTTTCCAAAGTTTTGTTTCATCAGGAGCTTCTTCCATTGCGAACAACCTATTCTTCTCATTCTGGGGCATTTGCCTTTGGAGTTTTTGAATTATTAATTCCAGCTCTATTGGTTCAGAACTAGGGGTGGAATCTGTGAGTTGCACAGACTCTGCAAGCGCCTGGGGCTGTAATGTGGCATTCTTGGCCACCTGGTCGAATTTAAGACCTCCCTTGGCTTCTGACTTGTTTGCTATAGTGTGCAATTTAACTTCTGTTATGGCTACCTCAGCAAGAAGCTTTTAGCCCTCCAAATGGTACCATATGAGTTTGGTGAGTGCCTAACTCCTTATGGGAGCAGTGCATTCACTTCAGTCATGTGGTGGTTGGAAGATTCACTTGGTGAATGTTAAGAAGAAAAGTTTGTTTTGTGGAAATAAATTTTGTGGGCATTTTCTTGTGGAATTTTTTTATGCTTAATTTTTTCACTATCTCATGTGTAAGCACACTGGGTGTTTCATTTATTTTATGGTGATCATACTTTTTTGATTTTTTTTGATGGTTCACAGCACCCCTCCTTAAAGTGGGAATTACCACTTTAATTTGGTATATTCAAATGGCACATGTCATCATTACAAGGGATGTGATGAGCATATGTGAGATTCCATCCTTATTTCTATGGTAGTACTTCACCGCTATGAACATTTCAACCTCGTTGTCAAAATGTAGCTGCTTTGTACAACAATAATGTCAAATATTGCTGTTGTACAACGTTACTAAAAAAAATAGATAAGGAAAGATGGGATGTCATATG